GTTTCCATACTAATATTCTAAATGTGATAGTCTATCTGTCTTAATAAAATTGATGTGAAGATATATTGTATTATAAAAACGCTCCATCTTCTAACTCGAAAAACAGACGAAGTCGCAGGGAACAAGTAGTTTAGTTTTTAGTACTAACAACCTACAGATTTATGAGTACACCCCTCTATCTATTGTTTTGAATGACAATTTGATATCGGCTTTTAGTGATATTAATATGTTATTAATATTTCGAGCACGATATTTATTAAGGCCTCTTGATGTGGTCGCTCAGTGACTGACAAGTATAATTGAAGTTATAACAAAAGACACTTTATATTTATGAAGCTAACTGTCCATTGTGGACGTTTTCACATGAGTGTACTGTCTCGCGCCTTCTGTTGATTGTTTGAGACTTAATAAATGGTTTGAAAGTCTTGGATTGAACCGTCAACGTCTGATTTATTTTCACTGTATTCGAATTACGACTTTATTGCATTTAAGTGTTAATTCAACTTTTAAACTTTACTAATGTTGTAAATGATAAGTTCGGACTCATGATAGTATTTGAGTCAAATTTGGTCAAGAGAAGTCTAACTACTGGAAATTATTAATATTACTGAAACTAGTTTGTTTCCTGCTTCTTTCCTATAAACTTTACTTCTATTTGGTAAAATAATTATACTGTTTAAATTAAAAGTAGCCCAAATTACTCCTAATAACATTGTACATATAGTGAAAGTACCCTAAAAATGGGTTCAGCCGTTTCAGATATTAACAAGAACAGAGAGACATACAAATCAAAATATTTATAATTATATACTTTCATATGCACTTAGTGAAAAACTGTTAATTTTAAATTACAAACAGACGCTGTATTTTATTTATTTGTTTGGATACTTGGAAGTTCTCACCCATATTTTTAGAATAGAAAATCATTTATTCAAATAAACTTAATTTAAGCACTAGAAAAGAATAGTCAAAAAAATTTTTTTTTTAAATCTACCGCTTATTCGGAAAGCTGTCTCATCACAAGAAGAATAGGCAAGAAACTTGTGTGTTGCTCTTTTAAACAATCCTTGTAAGAAGTTTAAGTTTTCGTGAGAATAATAAATTATTTCGTTAATTAAAGCATTATCTGTGATTTTGCATGGTACAGTTTGTTTCTTATCTGTCCGTAGGTCATAAGAGTAAACTATTTAAAGAGCAAGCAACAAAGTATCTTAATGGTAAAAACGGTACTCTACCTACTAGGTTTATTACCACTAGTAGGCCATGACCATCGAGATAGTATCGCCGACACATTTTGTTGTGTAATACACGATCAATTGGCATCAATATTGACCACAGATATGGTCATAAATAGATGTCGCAAGTTACGACTGCATATATATTTATCTTACTACTTACTTCACACGACTTCACATGACGGTCTCGGTGGTTAGCACACCGCCTTTCTTTCAATGGTCGCTATGATTGACTACACTAACATGGATTAATGAATGAATGAATGAAAAACTCTTTATTGCTCGTCTCACAATAAGGATATAACAATTGAAAAAATAATATGTATATCAAATATAAAAAACAACATAATTACAATAAAGAGGTAACAATGGGCGGCCTTATCGCTAAATAGCGATTTCTTCCAGGCAACCTAAATCTTAACGGTATGTTGTTTCATAATTGTACAATACATATTGTATACTTAGAATATATACCGTGACAATATTATTTATTAGCTCCCGATATTTCGACGCTGTTACAAGTGTTCTGGTTGGGTCGACTGTACATAGATGGAGATAGATGTAAACATTCATTACGATTTTCTTAATCTTTTTCTACGTACGGAATGTACATCGCTACCACTAAACATCAGTAGCTCGTATATAATATGAAATATCATAATGTCTACAATAATATTTTATGTCAAGATTGGTCCTAAATTGAACTTTGTAAGGCCTATTTGAATAATTAAATTTTGATACGGTTTTTTGTAAAGTTTATGTCAAAAACTTTACAGAGGTTCATTTCAGTAATTATAACAAGTGCTAAATTGATTGAAAGCAAGAGGTTGTATGAATATATCTGATGGTGCTCTGTATTATTCAGCTGCATTATAATCTTTAATTGTTTTATTAGTAGGACGGTAGCATTTTAACATACGTTATTAAAATTCGGTGTGCATAAGTTAAATATATTTACTTTGCGTTCGTAAAATTTGTAAATGGAATTTTATCAACAAATATCTTTTGACGGCGTCGGTGCATTAGCACACTACTTTTTATACGATGGTCGCAGGTTCGATTCCTCGCACGGTACAAACATTTGTGTTCATGAGTATTATTGTTTATATCGGTCTGGGTGTTTTCTATGTATATTAAGTATTTATAAAAAAAATCTGTGTATTTATATCAGTAGTCTAATACCCATAACACAAGCTCAGCTTAACTTGGGACTAGATAGGAGGAGTGTGAATTGTCCAAGGAGATATTATTGTTATTTGTAACCTAAAGGCAAGTTTAGTAATAACATAATTAGTTTTAATGTAAAATGTAGTCATTACACTCTATGTGCAAAGTTCCCATGTGTGAAGGCTACATTAAAGTGATTATCGTTATTTATGTCACGATATCAATTGATAATCCGATGATCTATATTGACATCCGTCAAAATTCAATTTAAGCCGTGGATCACAATGTTATTGATCGTGTAGCCTAACGATTTCACCATATTACGACCCTAACGTGTTAGATACCATAGTGTGTAGGTACCATATCTACAGTACCACTTAATGTGTGGTCGGACTGGTTTACCAAACGTTGCTGTCGATAGCACTGCAGTGAGGTTCATGGTAACTGTAGGTACCTACATAGTACATACGCACACGTGGGCGGTAGTTTGTTGGATACATGGTCAGCGTTTCTACCTACCAAAAGAACTTACTCATTTCGATTATATTTTTTGGTGTATATGGTACTGTTGCTGGTTATATATAAAGAATTATGGACAAGCTTGTCCATAATTCTTTATATATATATTTATATTATTTTGGTACCTTTATTTTCATATGTGATTTTGACTGTCTTGCGGACCATTTTGGGAAATATATACATATAAAATTATTCCTTTAAAAGTAGACTGAAAAGAAAGTATAGTATGTACTAGTACCACTGTGCTACACTCGGTAGAGTTTTGGGTTCTATTACGTTGATATGGTCGACCAATGTTTTTCTCATAATCTTTCATGTATAGAACTTCTTTTTATGTATATATATAGATAAGTAGGAATGCACGTGTCCTTAAAACTTGTCGCGGTACGCGGCGTACACAAAGGACAATTTTGTAGATCGCGGACAAAAGTTCCTTAGCCTGAGAATGCTTTTAACTTAATCACAACCAACCATACTAATTACATTTTTTATTATGCTCATGGTATTATTTCGTTGTTACAATTGTTCTGCCTTATCTGTCTGGTGACAATGGACTTCTTACAAAACGTTCACTCTCAATACAGTCATTACTATTGAACTGGTAATTGATTATATTCCTAATGCTCTTAATGACTGCTATTTTTTGCAAATTAATCCTTTCACTATGTTTCTTACTTGGAACTATTGTCGGACATTTAAGTACATTAAAGATTTATGAGTAATTTAAGAATAGATATTTTGTATTAACTTTAAAAGACCTATAATTAGTAACGATTATGTTCAATTTTGATATAAGTAAAGAACTACAAATCTCAGGGTAAATGGTACATCTTAGTCCTCTAGATTGGCAATATATAATATCACGGTTGTCACATGATAACGTGATGTCCGTAATATTGTTCATATACATATACATATATATATATATACGATGATTACTGCATATATCAGGCGGCTTATCTACCGTTCAAGTTAAACTAAAAATCTTACGTACCCGATAATTAACAAACATTTTTGTAGGCTTTTTTTGAAGAGAGTATATTTTTAAAATCTTTGTTCAAATTTTTAATCTTACTCGTTGATATGTCGACGCCGTACGTAAATATATTTGCAATGTCAACAGACAGAGTTTGGTTGTATACCACACAGGAATCTGTGGTATATAGGGAACGAATTTATTTATATCATGATATAAATAAAATTATATTAAATATTTACAGGATTTATATGTAACTTGTATTTTTGCTTTGTAATCGGTGTGGTCCAAGATATAGACGTAATAAAAATATTTCAGGCATCCGATTTGGTTACATAAAATGTTATATGTTAAATACATAATACAGATATGAATCGTATATTCAGTCTATAATTAACAGGCATGCAACACATTCATTATTATTGCATTGGAAATGTACATTAAAACTGGAATTCTAGTATCATAAATTCACTAACTGTATAAGAAGAAGCCGCTTAAATAATGTAGTATTAAATTGTTTTTATTTCAAAAGGTTTCTTTCGTATTATGAGTAATGGCGTTCACTGGAGTATTATTGCTTGATATATTTAGTACTTGCCTAGCACTAACCTCTTCATTTGGAGTAAAATTATTGACATTTATTTACTCTAGCTACTCTTTCTATATTAGCGTTGTTGTTAATAAAATAAACATAAACAGTGGTGGGAAATTTTAAGTAATAGGGCTCTATTAATAGGAATATATCATATTACGTCGACATCCGCGCGGTTCATCTGGGAATCAGTTGTCGTTCATTCCTGCTGAATTTGTCACGATAGGCAATTGACTTCACGATGTTCATACCGTCATCTTTCACTACAAAATTCAATCAAATTAATTAAAAAAAAAAGATAGTTATGTATCTTGCCAGTTCTCAATTGAATCTGTATACTGAACTGCACGGTACATGTAGGACACATGAATAAATGATTTTTGATTTGATCCAAAAAATATATAACAATGCATATGATGACATAGCAGAACAAATATCTATGTAGATTTTATTCAAACACAATGCTTATCAATAGACATGAGGTTTAACAGGTGGTTTCGATTGTTTTCAGAACAAGTGTTGGTCAGGCGTCGGGCCGGGCTGCTGCGCCGCGCCCGCCGTGCCGAGTCGCGCGTGCGATGCGGAGCGGTCCCCGCCGCCCGCGCCTCCACCCGCTCCGCCCGTGCATTGCGCCAGACCCTGCTGCCGCGACGCGACGTTAGTATACACACATTCTTGTTTGCTGTAAGAGATGATAATGGAATTGTGCATCGGCCTGGACTAATGGTATATGCTGGTGGCATACCAGTGTAGAATGATAAGATACATATGAGATCAGAGCAGTTACCCCGTCGTGACAAATCCACCAGGACTTTAACAGGATGGATTCTGGGGGAACCGCGCATGTGAACCTGACTACTACCAATCCTTTTCCCCCCACACATTATAATTTATATTATGAAGGAGATACGGTGAACTTAGTATAAATCATAGGATAAGAGGTATAGCATCTTAATCTTCTGGGTATTACCTACAATATAGGTTTTTGCTACTACCCCAGTTGTTGGCCGTTTCTCTGAAGTTCAACTCAGCCTCTATAAAAAAATAATCCCAAATATCGATATAAGTTTCTTAATTAACAGGCGACCCGTCTCGTAAATGTGTCATAACTTACACTCGCATGAAATTTGTGGCCTATGTGTTTCCGATGTTAATATAGAGTTTCATTAAAATCCGTTAAGTAGTTTTGGTGTGAAAGAAAAGAGTCATAAACATACATCTACCTATCTAACCATACATACTCACAAACTTTCGCGTGTATGATATGCCTGTTCTGTCGTATATTCTATGACATATTTAATTTATATACGAACTGTTCCAGTTCGTAAATGAAAAATCAAGTTAGCATTTTTACGTTTTCCGTGCAATAATTTTTCTTTATAAGAACCTTCTCAAAAGCTGTTCTCGAACTTTAGGCTTAAATTTGCTTTAGAGACTCATTTTTGAAATTAATACCGACTTTGATCGTCCGTCTGGTCCGTTCAAGACGGGGAGGGATTTGTCTGTCAGATTTATATACATAGATACGAATGGTTATACTTGATGTAGTATAATAGTTTTGGTTAGTGTGTATTATAAAAACCTAAACTTACCTAACTCAATTAAGTTTATTGAATAAATATTTTTATTTGTACTACAGTTTTTATTTTGATATTAGGGTATATCTAGTGTACAATCATAGCTAAAAGTATTAGATTCATTTAATAAATATTTTTATACTAAATTGTTATTTAGATATAAGGGCATAGTGTAAATATAACATTCACTGGGAGGTAATAGGCAAAAGTCAAAGTAAGAATTCTTTGAATTACGTCTCATCTTAATCGAATATGTCACGTATAACACGAGCTATCATGTTACAAAACTCAGTACATACGTGTATTTATATTATTGTTATATTAAGCTGGAGTACCGCATATAAACAGGTATACAATCGGTAGGTACCGTAGCTTAATACGGTACCTACGGTAGTAGGTAATTGATTAGAAGATATTCTAATATATAAAAATCTCGTGTCTCGATATTTGTTACCAAACTCCTCCAAAAAGGTTTTACCGAATTTAATGAAATTCTGTATGCATATAGGTCCGAGAATCGGCCAATATCTATTTTTCGTACCTCTCAATCATGAGGGATCCAACCCTATATGTTTATTTAAATTTTTCACGATCTTTTTTTATTTTATTATTTAAAAATACAACCCTAATTTTTCACCCTTCTATGACCCTTAATTTTAATAGCGATATTGGTACTTAACTTTATATTATATGGCCAAATAACGTTTGCCGGCATGTCTAGTATAAAGTAAGATCCTATAATATACGAGTACATGTATACAAAAACTTGAAGCTTCTTCAAAAATAGTAGTTTCAGATATTAGCGAAATAAACTACTGTACTTTCTATATGTGTCTACATAAGAAATGAGTAAAAACAACTACATACAAATATTTGAAGTAAGATTCTAGCAATTTGCAAAAAAAAAATAAGTGAGTACGTGCATTTATTTTTTTCCGTCGATGAATGGCTCCGTATACAATACGCGGAATTCGGGGTTTTACGCTACCCCAGCTACTACCTGCCGTCCCCACCACTCGATAAGACGGCTACCCTCTGAATAAGGGTCCGGGGACGCTTAGTTTCGTCATCCCCCTCGACGATGCGCGTACGCAGCGACGCAAACCAAGTAGCGTTTAAAAATAGTGTAATATATAATTTAATACTCGTTCTAGATTACTTATGATATAAGTGAAATTATAGTGTATATATAATAGTGCAATAAAATATATCAAAATGGATTTGACGATGCCTAGACTTAAGTTTGAGTTTGATGAAGACGACTATTTGAATGAAGAAGAGGAATATATTGTAGCCGACATGTAAGTGGAGAATATTTAAAGAAATTAATAATAAATAAACATAGATGTAAAACATAGCATCTTGTCTCGAACTATAGTACTAAATAATTAATAGTTTTTTGTGAATATCTCGCGGTATATTTTTGGCAATTTCCTGCAGATTTTGTTGATTCTTTATGCGTTAGGAATTAACACTTACATAATTAGTTTATTGAGCTTTGTGTTATTTGTCATTAATTTATTAATGCCTGCTTTATCGTACTACCTTTACTATCTTAATGCAGCCATTATTCAAATAATGACTAACAACATAAATATAATAATAAATACTGCGATGAACACGTTCAGGTAGCAAACAGTGAATTAACTTACAAAAAATTGCCAAATAGCATCCGAAACTGAATCGGCTAAAGTAATATTAGGTGCAAAGCGTAATGTTAGGTGCAAAGCTGCAGGTGTTCCACACATGTTGGGAATGGTTTTTTTATAAATATATTCTTTATTCTCAATACATGCCTGATTTATCTAAACATATAAATAGTGGTATAAAGATATATAGAGACTTAAGTTTTTTTTAATTCAGTACTTTCTACCATTTCTATTATTTATACTAATATTATAAATGCGAAAGTGCGTCTCTATGTTTGTTACAAGACTAAACGTATGAACAGTAATAATATTTAACGTGCAAATAGTTTTAATAAAATAAATAAATGAAGCCTATTTTTTAACAAATACGTATACAAAACACAGTTTAATACACATATGAATAATTTATTCAAACAATAATCATGAATTATTAATTGTATTGTATAAATAATTCTATTCTGCGGGAATAGAATTTGCATCTATTCGTACCTGAGATAAATAATAACAGCACTACCAAGGTTGTCATGTTTTAGTGATGGTCATATTCAAACTCACGACCTTATGGCTTTAAATCGGAATTAACCACTAGGCCACGACCCTCACGATTCATATTAATAATGAGTTTTAATTTGAAAATCTTGGAATTTCGGATAACAATAAAACAAATTGTTAAACTTGAAGTCTAAAGAACCATTGAGCGTTATCTTATCCTTTCACAGTAATGAGTTTCTATTGACAAAATGACGAGAAACTTTATTTTATGGCGAATTTTTATATTCCTATTGTCTTGTTTCGGACATTTAAATTCAGGTAAAAGAACGTATTCAAACGGTACACTGTATTGTATTGTTGTATTGGAACCTTCTAGAGAATTAACTAATAGTCAATAAAATATTATCTTTTGAACTGTATGTTAAAAATGCCGCTATCCGATAATGTATGAGTATAACTGTCCTGTGTACGGCACACTGGTTATATGTCTCTTTCAAGGGGCCGATAGTTTAGATAGAATTCTTAAGTTAGGTTTAAAAAACAACATAAATGACAAATCTTTAGTTTTGTTTAGAATTGGTTAAAGCTATTAAAAATATTTATTTTGATATATAATTTTTAAATTGATGGTAATGAATCAGTTTACGCTACTACGGCACTAGTGGAAGATGATAAGATCTGCATGAGGTCGGGGCAGCCAGCCCACCGTGACAAACCCACCAGGAATTCATTACGATGATTTTCAGGGGAAACCGCGTGGAGGTCAACCTGGCATGGTACATTGTTAACTTTCGGGTCATGAATCCACATTACTAACAACCCCCTTCCCACATTTTCTTGTATTACAATTAGATAGCAGTTAGCGTGTGAAACCACTCAATGCTGTCCATAGCTCCTCACTTGCTAGACTAATTCGACACTAAAGTCAGCAGAAAAAAATTACTTATGAACCTATGTCTACTTCTAGTTTACAATTTATTTCGTTAGCATACCTAATAGTTATATACTATAGTTGGTCATTGAAGCGCCTAAGCTGATTTTAATTGCGATTCGATAATTAATACCATTTCTGAATAAAACTAGGTCGACTTGTTACTGTATTATAATAAACATTTGAATAAATGTTTACAGCACTAAAACGGGTTATTCAACTTCGTAATTAAACTATTTTGATCAGGCCTAGAAACTAAATATTGAAACTTGCTATGAGTGTAATCTTAGTACATATAGACTATTGACTATTGAACATATAGACTACATGATTTTATAAAACTTTTTTGTAACATAATATCTAATGAACAGAAAACTACTACCTGTTTACTTTTATTTTAATCTAGTATTGTATTATAATTTTTAATATAGTTATTTTGTAACCGGAATATTTTTTTTTGTAAATTCTTACTAGGTAGTTACGGCTTAAACTGTTTACGGCTTCGACGATCTCCATCAAATCAGCACAGTAGTAGTTACTAGTCTACGCTGTACTAACTACACGTAGTAATGTTGTGTTTGTTTGTTGTTGTCCAGTGTTGGAGATAGCGGCGAGCAGCGTCGGGCACAGGTGGGCAGCGGCGCTGCGGGCGCTGCGGGAGCGGCGAGCGCGGCGGCCGCGCGACACAAGACGGCGCCGCAGGTCGCAACGACGACGGCCCACAGCAAGCAGCTGGCGGCGGGCGGGCCCAACCCGCCCCAGCCGCAAGGTAACCACAAACGTAATGTCAACCAATTGTTGTTACCTCCTATTGCATCCACACGCACACGCACCCACATATGCACGCACGTACACACTCACGTACGTACGCAAGCACGCACTACAACACGCATCACGCACGCACACACAGATACGTTAACATCTGATGGTGCTTATCACTTTGTAAAATAAATGTCGCCTATATAAATGATGGATACGTTACCGCTGGCCCACCTGATGGTAAGTGGTAGCCGTCGCTTATATAAATGAACAATATCATAGTTATCATATTATTGTATGACACTCGTGGTACCATTTACGTTTTTCGTTCGTCCATTCTTTGGCTACTTAAATAGATGAGATAAATTTACCCACGCAAATAACTTTCTGATAGTCTTTTGCTCGTTTTACAAAATCAGCTATTAGTTAATTCACTTATAAGAACTAGGTACTCTATAAAAATAGAATAGTCACTACTTCACACCAACATACCACGTGCTTATGAACCACATTAATATTGGAATGTTGTATAAAACTTCAACCAATCTGACAGGAGGTAACAATGTCGCACTATCAGACACTACCTGTATTTTGTTTGAAATTTCATGCACTATCCTTCATAAAGATTCGGGCAGAGAAGTAAAATTCTTGACGGATACTTATTTGTCGTTATAAAACATTGACGTGTAAGTGTTCGCGGAAGTATGCGGACTACACTTTGGTCCTCCGCTGAGGAAATCTCTTCTGCGCAGGTTTTGAGTGGACTGCGGAAGGTCGAACGGTTTTATAAAGCGTTTTGTCACTTGTACGGCAAACACGGGGAGTAGCACACCGTCTTTGCCTTGCAAGTTACGTAAACGTATTTGATATAAATTTAATGTAGGTGCTTAGTAGGAATTTAGTTTTAATAGTAAACAAATAACAGGAAAATTGTCTGTTCTTCCTTTTAAATTATTTATATGTCTTTCTGCAAAGTATTTTTGTAGCCTTCCTGTGATGTTTTCTCTAGGACGTAACAGTTGAATAGAACTGAAATATTTTTTTGTCCACGGAATCCAACGTAGCAGGGGACGTAGTTTTTGGCCGCCTCCCAGATTAGTTCGCTTTCTTATCTTTCAATCATCAGTCAAGTTTCTTAATGTCAGCCATACTTGAACTCACGATCTTTCGGTCTACGTTGGTGTAATAAACCATTATACCATGACGTTCTCCAATTTATTATTTTACAGTAAAAATATTACTCATGGATGGCCCCTACTTTTTGTTCTTCCTCTTGGAACTAAATGTACTGCATTTATTATGAAATTATATGTTTGGTTCTGTAGCAATTTAATGCAAGTGTAGAACGTAGAATGGGTAGATAGAAAATCACGTGCATGACCAACTAAAGCCAATTAAGCCGTTTGACCATCTACGGAGTCCTCTAGTCGCTAACTATGCTCATCCGGTCCCTACGTAGGTCCGATGTCAGTCAACGATGAAATGACAAAATTAGAATGTCCATAGCTTAGAATAATGTCCATAGCAATAATTTGTAAACATTGGTTCTCATATATTTAGATGTTTAATTAAGTAACGCGGTTTGATGACGACGTCATTGCCATGTTCATAGGAATAAAATTCTAGTTAATTGACTTGCTTCTAAATATATTCAGGCTTCCTTATGTAACGCAGATCTTAATTTTTTTATTTGAAACAAATTCAATCTACTGTTTTGCGATTAAATAGAGACTATTAAACAATTGCTAATAGTATAATAAAGAAAATCAGCAATAATAATATATGTTTACGGCTATTATATTTTATATTCCATCACCGGAGAATCAGTCTAAAAATATAAATTGACGTGCGAATTTATTAAATATTGGTCAGATTCGAACTCTCAATATTTGGACGTTATTCAGGGTAATAACTACTAGGCCGCAAGGAATATAACGCGTAAAATAAACAAACCTATTGATTTGAATCTGTTAGAGTTGACAATTGTTAATTAACTGCGTTATATAAGGCAGCCAATTTATATAATATGCATCTTATAGATATTATAAGAGAGGGATAAATAAATCAGAATGTTCAGGGTTATTATTATTATTATTATTAAATAGTGCTGTATACGTTATTAATATAGTTGAACAGATTTTAACACGAATAATTTTATGGTAAATAAAGTTATTTACCTCTTAGTGTGTAGACTAGGTTCCACTGCCGTGTTCACGAGCTGACTGATTATATATATTACACTGTTTATTTAGTTATTCTTAATTTAATTACTATTACATTACATACTATTATATATAGTAAACTGTTAAAACTCGTTTAACCATATTAATAATGTGAAAGTTTGAAAATAACTAGTGTTGTATACATTTATTTGATTAACGAATGGATGAAATAATTCTAAGTGTAAGCAACGTATTAAAAACTTTCATTGAATTAATTATTGCCCAATTTGAGTGGCAATATTTTCCAATAATGCCTATATGTTTGACAATATATTCTGAGAAAACGTTGTTTACTTAAACATGAAAACAATCAGAAAGTTTATGTCTCATTAAGATTATTATATATTTAAAAATGTTAAAAACAGTTTCATAACTCCATAACACTTTTCATTGAAGTTGGTTTCGTGATTAGTGCTATATAACTAATACGTGTACGTATGTCTGTGCATGCACCTGATGGGGATACCACAGGCTCCGGCTGCGGTGGAGATGGCGACTACCAGCTGGTGCAGCATGAGGTGCTCTACTCCTCGTCTAATAGGTACGTTATCCATTATTCATATACTAATTTATTCTACTTTTGTAGTTAATTATATTCAAATACTGGATGAGCGTAAAACTTTGTTATGGCGTGGTATTCGGATGAATAATCTAAATATCTTGCTAATGTTATAAACAGGCAAGTTTGTGAGTGTGGATGTATGGATCGAAGTTTGTTACTCTTTCACGCAAAAATTACTGAACGGATTTTGATGACAGTTTACAGTAATATAGCTTACATCAGAAGACTATAATTTTTACGCTGGCGAAACCGCAGCGCAGCTAGTATCTTCTAAATCTGAATATGTCTGTCCATGTACAGACAGCGACTAATTATATTTATATATATATTAGATTTTGAAGACTTCTTATCAGACGTATCAGCTGTACTTATTTCTAACGTCTACTTTGAATGACTGCCGATAATTTAAAGTATAGTTTGATATGTGACTTACTCTTGGCCAGTGTGATTTGTATGAGATATGATTAGTTTGGATGAAAATGTCTCAAGAGTTTGTATATTCACTTGAGTTTATAAGTATTGAGTTTACTTATAAACTCAAGTGAATATAGAAACTTGGTTACACATAACACTGAGCTATGAGTCATTTTGTATAGTTGTGGCATATACAGCAGGTTTACCTATATACTATTACATTCGTCTAAATATTCAGTACTGTATACTACATGTACTTAAACCTATGCGTGTACTTATGAAACAATTAAAAAATCTTATTAATCTATTCAGGTACGAGGTGTTGGAGTTCCTCGGGCGGGGTACATTCGGCCAAGTAGTGAAGTGCTGGAAGAAGGGCACCAATGAGATAGTCGCCATAAAGATCCTTAAGAACCACCCCAGCTATGCACGCCAAGGGCAAATTGAGGCATGTATTTGAAAATAGATCATATATATGTATTAATATCTCTTTTTAACATACAACCAATAACACTCTTGTAGTTATATATTTTTTGCCAATATTCTAAATATGTATTTTTTTATAATTATATATTACACGTAATCGTTATAGACTTTTTTGTTTAGTTGTTATATTTGCCCTCTTCTTAATATCGCTTATTGTTCATAAGTTTAATAGTATATTGTTTTATGAATATTACTAACATTTAATAGGTGATATTTGTTCGATTCGTTATAAAGCCAAAAAGGATCAAATATATAAATTTACGTTCAGAATCGTAATAATATTGAGGTTCTTTAAATGTTTTAGTTGTTTAAAATATGTTAGAAAAAAAAATAAGTATCATGGTTTTTTTTATCGATAATGGTGGCTAACACTTATTAAGCTGAAGGGGCATCAGTGGAGAATAACCACCAGACTCCATTATTGACAATCCGCTCACTCCAATCCCCATGTTCATGTTGTATAGATTTTCTAACCTATCAAGGGTCCAGATTTATTAGGTTATTTTAAGATAAAATATTACATTAAAATATATATATATATATATCTTATTTATATATATAATTTATATATATAAATAAGATTAAATTGGCTGTATTGGATCTGTAGGTAATGAGTTTTAGACTTTATCATGGGCTTCAGCGATGCCGGCTAATAACTTAAGATCTCCCAAATGACTTGTGTAACTTTAGAGTTTTGATTAATGAAACTTGAATTTAATTAATTTTGTGAGCCCTATAAAGATTCTCATTAAAAGTTTTCAATCAAATAAGGCTTCAGTTACTATAATAAATAAGGACTTATTTTAAGATCAGTTCAGCAATTAATTTGTGTAGAGTACTAGTAAATAACGTTACATAAATTGAGACGACAAAGATCCTTAAGAAATCTTTATCTCTAAATCACTCATAGTTTCTTGATAGAAAATATGACAAGGCCGATCGGTCTGTAAAAGGTTGTTTTCGTGCGATAATTTCGTGTTTATGCGCATTAAGTATATACACATAAATAAATAAATAAGCTGTAGCAGTTTGGAATAAGGTCCTTGTATGTGTTGTGTTGGACTATTTTCCTCATTTATCCTCACAGTTGAGCCTTTGTGCACATAGAGTCGGGATTACTAGAGGAATGATCTTATTTAATAATAATAATTATTATTATTAAAAACAATTAAGTATTTTTGTTTATTCATTACAAAATTTATATATAACTCCCTCGGTGGTCTTGAGGTTTAGCACACGCCCTTACTTTCGATGGTCCCGGGTTCGATTCCTCGCACGGCACCAACATTTGTTTTAATGAGTATGAATGTTAGTATCGGTCTGGGTGTTTCCTATGTATATTATGTATTAAAAAAAAAAATTATCTATGTTTTTGTATCAGTTGTCTAGTACCCATAAATGAAACTCTGCTTAGCTTGGAACTAGATGACGCTGTGGGAATTGTTCTGAGATATTATTATTATTATATTAAAATTAGCATATTCGGGACAGGATATGTGACATTATTCCGTTGGACTTCCCTAATAATGTCGGCCCTGTACACATTGGCAATGCTCCAAGTCCTGTTTGAAGACTTGAGTGCCTCTCCACATTATAAACTCGATGCACAATATTAATATCACATAATACGTATTGCAAGAAATTCAGGTTGATTTCATAATAGTATGGATACAGAATCGAAATTAATTGTATTCGTTTTTATTTTAAGTGTAGCTTTGATATAAACTGCATATAATTTTATAGCTTATATTGTAGGTATGAAGAATATCTTTACAATGACTGTTTTGTATTGAAATAAGAGAAGTAAGTGTTAATGTAGTTGTTTGTGACACATTTGTATTTTTTTATAGTTACAGGAAAAACTTAAAGTAAAATACTTAATATAATTAATATTGAGATAATCATTGAAATTAATATTATAAATTCAAAGTCCATATTACGCTATATAAATGCTTTTTAAGATATGTATTTAAAGATTAGCTATGTAAATCTTCAAATTTATGGTTACAATAATACTTTTTTATGACATTTATTACATATGGTGATAGTGCATTTCATAAATCTTCAATACATAATACTTAATGAACCTATATGATATATGAACAATAATATTTCATATGATACTAGCTGAGAACTGCAACTTCGTCCATTTTTTTATAAAATACGTCCAGCCTGTTAGTCGTAACAGTAACAAACATACAGACAGACACTTTTATATATATATGTTGTCCTTACATAGTATAAAACAAAGACGCCATCGCTGTCTGTACTGTTAGATCTTTTAAATGACGCAACGGATTTTAATAGTTTTCAACAATAGTTAGAGTAATTAGAATAATACGAATCGCAATTGTTAAATAAGAGTTTGTCTAATAGATATAATAGTAGAAAATAAGTAATTGTAATTTTCATTAGTTAATTTGTATGACTTTCAATACTTGCAGGTGTCGATCCTGTCTCGCCTGTCGCAAGAGTCGGCGGACGAGTTCAACTTCGTGCGGGCGTACGAGTGCTTCCAGCATAGGTCGCACACGTGCCTCGTGTTCGAGATGCTCGAGCAGAACTTGTACGACTTCCTCAAGCAGAACAAGTTCTCGCCGCTGCCGCTCAAGTACATCAGGCCGATACTGCAGCAGGTGCTAACGGCGCTGCTCAAACTCAAGGTGAGTACATAAAGTGTTTTTTAATTTATGAATAATAATAATAATTGCTCACTATGGGCATGTAATGCGTAGGAATGAAGATCATATCTTAAGGAAGATGGTACATAAGAATATGGATGGATGGAGGCTATAACGGCAAAGGAAGATCGAAAAACAGATGGATGGATTGAATGACTGATGATATGGTAAGAAAGGTAGTAAATAACGTCATAACTGTGAACAAGGATGGATGGAAGAGAAAAACATATTACCTGAGTCAGTAAAACTCCGTTGTCATCTAAAAGTATTCCCCATTTCTCACAATAATTTTGTCCAATAGTTAGATAAATATTAAGTATTAAAGTTGTAACTTGTATGTGGAATTTGAAACCTTCTGTGTCACTACGTTACCCTTCCTTTTTTACAGCAACTGGGTCTAATCCACGCGGACTTGAAGCCAGAAAACATTATGCTGGTGGAGCCGGCGCGTCAGCCGTACCGTGTGAAGGTGATTGACTTCGGAAGCGCTTCGCATGTGAGCAAGGCCGTCTGCAACACATACCTACAGAGCAGATACTACAGGTATATATATATTTTTAATGGATGATAATGGAATTGTACACCCGCCTGAGCTAATGGTTTTCGCTGGTAAGCCCCATTGAAAGATGATAAGGTCAGGTTAGTTAGCCCATCGTGACAAATTCACTAGGATTTATCATAATGGTTTCAAGGGAGAATCGTGTGGTCAACCTGACATGGTGCATTGCTAGCAATGGGGTTATCAGCCCAGATTACGAACAATCCCCTTTTCTTATAGGTATATTATATTACACAATCGTGCATATCGATCATAGATATGCTTTCCATTCCGAATTATTCTAACGGTGTTAGCCATAGCTGGCCTTTACAGGTTCTTACATATCTTGGACTCATCCTAACTTGGCACGGATGCAATTATTGCAGGAATCTCTCGATTAAAAACAATGTAGTAAATATTACTCGACGATAGCTTTATTTTGTTTATTGAGAGACTAAGACTGTAATGGATTTTTATTGTTATTTAATTTACTAGCATTGTTTGCATAATAATAGCACTTCAGGTAATATCTTCTAGATTATTTATATCTATTTGAAGACATAGAAATAATCTTTATATAAGCACTTGAATGGTCATATCATATAGATATTTTTTTGTTTATAAGTTTATTTGTAATGTTATCCACAGAGCACCAGAAATAATTCTGGGGCTGGCGTTCTGCGAGGCGATCGACATGTGGTCCCTGGGCTGCGTGGTCGCGGAGCTGTTCCTCGGCTGGCCACTGTACCCTGGGTCCTCGGAGTACGACCAGATCCGGTACATCTCGCAGACGCAAGGATTGCCCACAGAACACATGCTTAACAGGTCAGTACTGTACCATATAATCAGGACAATTTACACAGCGCTATCCAGTCCCAAGCTAAGCAGATCTGTATATCTGCTTATGGTGCTGCTCATGTACATCTCTGTACATGAGCAGCATAATAAACATCAAGTCATATGTAGAATTGGCAATATTGAAATCCTAAAAATGTGTTTTTATAATAATTCTATTTTTCAGCGCAAGCAAAACAGCGAAGTTCTTTTACCGGGACGTGGACAGCACGTATCCGTTCTGGCGGCTAAAGACCCCGGAGGAACATGAACTGGAGACCGGTATCAAGAGTAAAGAGGCACGGAAGTACATCTTCAATTGCCTCGACGACATAGGACAGGTGAGCAAAATCTATAAGCGTGCAGAGAAGAATTTGTATTGTAAAGTTTGTTAGAGCAAAGTCTATAGGCTATAGGAATGAATGAGATAGTCAACGCGTCATTGCTCGACTCTGAAGTTATATATTTTCCACTCCTGTAAGGGGTGTATTAATTTTATTTATATCAAATATTTTCAGGTCAACGTACCAACGGATCTTGAAGGTGGCCAACTATTGGCTGAGAAAGCAGATAGAAGGGAATTCATAGATTTATTAAAGAGAATGCTAACTATGGACCAGGTATGTACTCTCTGCTTATATTACTTTATATTCTTGTCTTAAAAAATATTGTTTTGTATACATAATTCTAATATCTTTATAATAGATATATAAAAATTTCGTGGCACATTGTTTGACCGCGAAAGAATCTTAAACTACTGAACCAATTTTTTCCGAGACCAAAACAAATTGTTCTTTATTTTTTTGACATCCATTGTATTTTTTTTTATGGTTTAACTTTAATAAATACTTTCAACTCTAAAAATTTAACCCTTCTACCATAAACCCCTATATTTTAATAGCTTCTTCTTCTTTCGTTTCAACGGAAACTAAATATATTTTCCCCAGAACGTTGCGATTTTAATAGCGATATTAATTTATACAGCATTCTAATTTTGTGTTTCTTATCTTAAATCAATAAATGAAATTGAGTGATACATATATGTCCATATTAATGGACGTACGTATGTTATTCTATTCTATGTTAGGTTAAAATTATAATTTAATTAAAATTTTCATTACAGGAGCGGAGAATAACGCCGGGCGAAGCGCTGAACCATGCGTTTGTGACCCTGGCACATTTAGTCGACTACGCACATTGTAACAACGTCAAGGCCTCCGTACAAATGATGGAGGTACGTACATATTATTGTTTTATGGGTGAGACACTCAACAATACATCTATATGTCACCTGTAATAGTCTAACAGACTAAACAATATATAACTTTGGTACTATAGTTACATTATTGTAGATAAAAGCTATTTTTATTTCATATTTTAATGTTAGTGTAAATTAGATTTTGTTTCCTCTTTGTCTATTTGCGATCAGCCAATTAGCTTTTATGAGATTTGGTTGCTTTCGTTATCTGTCCGTTTGATTTTACTACATCCAGTAATGTGGTTCTTCTTTTATATAGGATTGAACATATTTATTGTATAAATTTTAGCAGATCAAATGTTAACAGGAAATTAGTCATAATAAGATTTTTCCTGCATATAGAGTGTATTTAATTTGTTGTTGTTTCTGAAATAGTAGAACTTAAACTTAAAAAATAACCCAAAATAACTCCTTTGGAAAGTATACACTTTATTCTGAGGAGATAAAAATTATCGCTCCTAAGAATATCCTTCAATTCTCGTTCCTGACGGGTCTAGGTAGCGGACTTTGAAAAAGGGCGAGCACAAGAGATCTATACAGATCGCAGTCCTACAGGTCTGAGCATCTAATAATAGCCCAAAACCTCCATAAAAAGACATATATGTAGAGGATAAGTCATAAGTGTAGTAACGTGTGTGGTAGGTATGCCGGCGGTCGGGCAGCGGTGTGGGCGGCGTGGGCGTGGGCGCCGAGTACGGCGTGGGCGGCGTGGGCGTGGGCGTGGGAGTGGGCGTGGGCGTGGTGGCGCCCGCGGCCGCGCCTGCAGCTCACCACCTCGCCCTCACCATCAACCAGCAGCGGCTCCGAGCCGCGCCCTACGACAACCTGGTCAGTATTCTATGGATTTACTGCAGGTGACTGGTTCATCGTATGGAGGGAAAGGAAAATGTACTCGTTGTAGTATAATTTACTATCGTTCTGCACTAGTCAAGGTATTTCAACATAAAGAACCGGAATATTGAATGAAGGTTTCATTCACTACCAACTTTTTGATATAAAACTAATTTAAGTACTATATAACGACTGAACTAACTTTAATAATATTTAATTTATCCCAAGAACGAATCTTAAAGAATAATTTGGAATAGAATGATTGATTCACTCAATTTCAAATATTTTTTTTATAATTTCATATTTGAAGATTTGTATAGGGAATTAGTAATTTTTCAAGGAATAGAAATCTCATAGTAAAAATTTAAAATAGATCCCCAAAATACTAATAGCGTGTACCGATCTTGTAGTGTTGGGTCCGCTATATATACAATAATATTTATCTGTATCTTAGTAGTTATAGTATGTTGACTCTGTTTTCTAAACTCGTATTTTATTTACAGTATCAACTATACCAAGGCGGTCGGGTGGCAGTGGGTGGAACGAGGCAGTATACTCGTGCAGCCGAACCTTTCCCACATCAATTCGTCTCGTCGATACTGTGCCAACCTGCTTATCAGGTATGTCATAGTAATAGTGTACGTAGATTAGTATAATATGTAGGTTTCCAGCTTGGAGGTTAACCTGACATGATACATTGTTAGGAATGGGGTTATTAATCCAGTATATAAGAGATTCATCTCTTATTTTTAGCATTCTTTGGATTCATCGTGCAGGAGAGGAAAGGGAGAGAACGAGGGAAACTCTGAGCAGTTTCCGGGACTTTGTCTCTTTGCCGACTGATGCAATAATTTAGTATGTCATATTGTTAAAACTAACAATTTCACAAAAGTGATCTTCATCTTTTTTAATTAAAGTTAGGAAATTTTTAGGATGATATATGATTGATATGATGGTTTCCAGCGTGGCGGTCATGGTACATTGCTACCAATATAGCAATGGGGTCAATTAATCCAAATCACTAATAATACCCTTCCCTTCTCCAGGTGCAACAGTTAGCCGCTGCGGCGGCAGCAGCGGCCGCAGCCCATCACCAGCATGGAGTAGCAGGTGTGGCAGGCGTGGCAGGCGTGGCGGGTGTAGCGGGTGTGGCAGGCGTGGGAGATGTGGGCGAGTGGCGGGCACCATTAATTGTGGAACCAGCGCCGTTACCGGAACCAGAGGTCTGGGACCCGTTCCATCCGCACCATCCGCAGCATCATCATCCGCACAAAAGGTATGTTCAGACATGTCTACTATCTGCATTTATTAGCAACGTGATATAAAGGGAAAATTTAACTGATGTTAGAGAAAAAGGATTAAAAAAAAAATCTCTTGTGGAAACCTCTACGTATTGGTTAACAATAAAGAAACAACAAAATACAAAGAAAACTGTACAAAATGATATTATAATTTTCAATATGGCCCACACTCGGCATGCTCAAACAGCGCTTATTCTGTGCAACACGTTTTTTGTATTACGGTAAAATTATTTATATAAATGTCCGTATCTCCAAATTTATATATCTGGTTAGGGATTCACAAATAAGAAAAACATTATATTACTATTATTATATATAATATACTTCTAATTAGCGTTATCGCAACCCAATAGTAGATACATTGTCTTTCGTAAAATATGTGCCAGGTTCTATTCTATGGGGAGCATATTTGACTAAAGTTACTTAGTATATTAATAAATATTTCAAATCATTTATAGAGTATAAAAATTGTAGAATTTTGTTCAATAGTACTCTTAACTGTACATATATGTAATAATGATAGGATTGTCAACAGATCCACAAAGCAGCAAGCGGCCGCCGTACCGCACTATCCACCGCACCATCAAACGCATCAATACAGGTGCTTATAACGATATGTGAACATACATAAACTATATATTTATATAAACTTTATATATTTTTATAAATTGTCCGGTGTCCATACGTTGGACTTATACACACATGTCTGCTCTAGTAACTGCTAATTAACTATATATTTATTTAGTGCTTTAATTTTTATTATGCCGTTTGGTAGTTTTTTTTCTTATTCTAGGAAAGTCATAAGTTTTCACGTCAAATATTGCTTTGGGAGTAAAAAAGAAAATATAGGAAATAAAATTTCATTAAAATTAAGTGTATTTGAATAAAAACGAAGACTGATATTAAAATAATGGTATAATTAGTCCATAGGCTATGGGTAACCTTGTACTATCAGATGAGTCGTATGCTTCTTTGTCACCTACGACATAAAAATCAATTACGCTTTATTGTGACATAGTTTCTTCTAGTTTCTGTGGACCAATATAACATTTTATTTCACTAGTATTTACGATCTTATACTTACTGCTTGTTTATGCTTCCGTAGTAAATTAGGTCACATCACAACTATAGTAGCAATCAAGCATCATTAGAGCAATTTCAGTCGAACTTATATAACTTAACTATTATGTAGTAATATTTTTTATAATTTATTTTACATAAGAAAACGTTCTTAAAAAATCATTTTCTATTTAAATTAAATAGGAAACAATCCGACCATATAAGTAATGTAATCTGATGTAACACATATATTTTTGACTCTAATTATAAACAGCATCGATGTAAATTATTAAGTCACTTTTAATTTTTGTAGAAACGTTCGTCGTATCTGAAAACGCAAAATTTTAGTAATATCCGTGTTATACTATACAATGAAATTATTAATTTAAAACACATTATTTCTCGGAGCATCAGTATTTTTGTTAACTATTAGTTCGATGGTATTCAAGTTTCATGCAACACATATTCAAATATCGCGATATATTAATATACGCCATAAATTTCTCCTGACAACATATAATAATGTTGTATGTATTGATCAGTATGGCGCACAGTGGAAGCAAGAAGGAACCAACTCAATTGTCGCCTGTCAAGAAAAGGGTAAAAGAGGGCACACCACCATCAAGGCACCGACATCATCATCACGACCACACGTGAGTTATAAACCTGACGTTTGAAATTATTAGATTGACCTATGCCTATACTTGTAATATTTCTGTCAACAGTCGAGACTCTTCTATTAGTACCCCTTCAGATTTAAGTTCAGTAGAAAATCAGTCCATAATAAGATGGTAATCTTATTAAAATTATTTAGTTCTCATTTTTAATCTTTATAGATACATAAGTGTAATATTTTAGTTTTTTACATAATGTAATAAGATTTTTACGTATTACATAATTGATAATAATTATTAAAATATTCAATTAGATATTTATAAAACTGTCCTATGTTCATTATGAGTATTAAAATTATCTTCTTTATAATAATATATATATAAAATTGTGTCTGTATTCGATATACTATTGAGCATATAATTGGTCGATCTGTTGTCGATTTAGAACAATATGGTCGATGTCCAGGAACGGTCGGGCTGCGAACGGCGCGTGGGAGGGCCCCGGCGGGTCGGCGGCGGCGGGGGCCCCGGGCGTGGCGGGCGCGGCGGGGCCCGCGGGGGTGGGCCCCGGGCCGGCGGGGCCGGCGGGGGCGGCGTGCGCCGGCGCGCACCACACCATCACCATCCGCGACACGCCGTCGCCCGCCGTCTCCGTCATCACCATCTCCGACTCGGACGACGACGCCGACCGCGACCAGCCGCGCCGCAACAGACAACACGTCGCCGACGCACCGCAGCCGCACAATAACAGAGGTAACGCGACTGATTTTCCCATTTTCATTTTACATAATCATTTTTTCTTCTCTATTTATACGCGTTTTAACTAAAGATTTTATCTCTCTATTGTCGACTATATGAGTTTTATCTGGAGATCGAATAATTTTAAATGCTATGTATGTATTTTTAATGATATATATCGTTAGGTATATACCATATATAAGGTGTTTATCTCTCTAGTATATTATGTATGTATTTATATGTAGCAATTTTACCAAAAATTTACTATAACTGATAGACGTAAGATACCAATATCCCTACATCACTCAGAATAATCTTTTACGGCATCTGTTCTCGGACGAAACGTGTCTAAAGGGACTACTATATACAGTTAAAGGATTGCATGTCTGGTACAATAATACCAGAAAACTGAAAAGATCAAAAATAATATTAGTTCAAAGAAAAGCTATTTATCTATGTCTTCATTATAACTATTTCATTAATATATAATATTTATTAATGCATGAAAATAATTATTTAAATTACGTCTTTTATATTATTTAAAAATATAATATTTAGTTAAAATATTTTTCCAAAAACTACAACTTATATAAGATACCAATATCCCTCATCGCTCAGAATAATCTTTTAGAGTTCTATTGCAGTTTAACGGTCTACATCTATTGAAGGTTCTAGGTATTAAGTTCAAATTTAATCCTTGACTATAGAACCCTAATCGTGTTCAACGAATGTCGACCACTGGGCGGTCCTAGTATGTATAGGAATAAAATGTAAATGTCGTAATCCACAGGCAGTAGCGGCGAGTGCGTGGCGACGGGCGTACAAGGCAGCAGCGGCGGAGCGGCGGTCGTCACCGGCGGCGTCATATGCAGCGCGCGCTCCTCCGACGACAGGCACGTCAAGCACGAGCCGCACCAGCATCACCAGCAGCAGCACCAGCCCTGCCATCATCATCATTTGGTACGTTTCTCTTTAATGAATGATAACGGTTTTAAGCTAACAGTTCCAGAGACAGTCGAAGTTCCGCAGTATACAGTCAGATTAATGGGCTATTAAATTATATTTAACTAGCTGTGCCCGCGGTTTCAGCCGCGTGAATTTTATAACCTATGTATTATTCTGATGTATAAGCTATACCTCTGTAAAGTTTCAACAAAATTTGTTCACTATCTTCTATGTAAAAGAGTAACAAACATCCATCCATACTCACAAACTTTCGCTTTTATAATATTATTAAGATATTGTATAGATATTGTTGTATTTTTTTAATAAGCTTGTCTTAACAAAATTATTTATAGTATTACATAGTATATATTACTTTCTTCTTTAGTGTAATTTTTGTTATCCAGCGTATATCTAGCCTATATAATTTTTAGCTTCTATGCATACATAGTGTTGGATTGCAATCCAGATTTATACCAAATTACTCACTCCGAATCAAATTCTTATACTGAATGTAATCTGGTTTCTTTGCTAATAAATAAATATTGTTGGTTCCATGTAGCAACAACAACAACAACCGCAACAACAACAACAACAACCGCCTCCGCAGCCGCAGCCGGCGAATTCGCGGGCAGCACCGCAGGCCACGCCGCAGAGTCAGAAGAAGCGTCTGCTGGCGCTCGCGCAGCAAGAGGCGCAGGCCAAGCGGGAGCCGCAGCCCGAACACCAACTTCATTACGCACCGGTAAGGTTCAACTACCTCTCCGTCCCAGCGGGGATTCAAATTAATTTGCACAAAACCTTAATTATTTTTTATACAATTATAATAGAAATAAAATAGAATAGAAAATAATTTATTCAATTAACTACATTGAAGCGCTTTTGAATAGTTATCACATTTTTTTTTAATCTACCGCTCAATCGGAAAGCTGAAACAAGAATAATGAGCAAGAAACTTGCGTGTTGCTCTTTTAAAAATTTTTATTGTTACTTTACATTTTTAAGTTGAAGTGTGTGAATACAAACTATCAAATTGCACTAATTCAATTAAATACTCAAATACAGAAAATATTAAATATACAACTAACTGGTTGAGTAAGTAAATAAAAGTAAATCAGTGGAGGTGTCATAATGATTAAAATTGAAAAAGAAAAGAAAATATTCATTATTAAATAAAATGTCCAAAACTCAATCTTATGTTCATATTTAGTGTCAGGTTTAAATTTTATTTTCGTTGTGTAGCTTAAGTTAGTTTTGGTTTTTGTAGATGCATCTGTGACTATCTAGTACAGTAAATTTGTTATATAAAACCGTGGTTATTAATGCAAAAGTCCTCAGGATTATTTATAAAATGCTGTAATTAAAACTTAAAGGAAAACTAATACTAAGTTATAATAATTAGTAAAAATCACGGGGGATCTTACCACGTTTTATAGGAAATGATCAAGGGTAAACGGGTTTACCCGTGATCAAGTTATACCGAAATATCGGGAACTCAGCAAATAAATATAAAACGTGGTAAGATCGATTTTTTGTAATTATTATAAACCGCGTCAAGTTTAAAACAGTATATAATACTAAGTTACTTCAATTTTAAACTTTCGTTGTAATTATAAAAGGTAGAAATTTAAATTTCTCTTATTTTTCAGAGCGGTTCAACAGTGCGTCAAACGAACGAATATCAATGCAATCAATATGTTCCGCCGCAACACAATAAGAGGGATAGTGTAAGTGCCACATTATATTTGTAATATAAGACCTGTAGATAGTGTCACGCTGGAATATATATCTTATGTTACTGGCTGATGAATAACATATTGTAGTGTTTTTAATTTTAAACTAAATTCATATTAACTACTAAAAATGGACAATATAATAAAAAAACATATTTGTCTCTCAAGTACACTATACACTTGAAATAAATAGATAGTAATAACAGCAACAATTAGGTTTAATTTGGTAAATTATATTTATATTAACAATATACTTAATCCGATTTAATATGAATTATACGAGTCGACGGCGATTAATATAATAAAAGGTATATATATTACTATTATTATTATACATGTTGCAGTTTGACCTATTTTACGATGAAATTGTAGTATAATAGCAAATTGTATCCTTTAGAGCGGCGGTCGAGGCGAGTACCTGACGACGGGTGTGGGCGGCGTGGCGGGTGTGACTGGTGTGGCGGGCGTGGCGGGCGTGGGCGGCGTGAGTGTGAGCGTGGGCGGCCCGCCCGCCGCTCACAAGCACGCCGCGCCCCACGCATGGCACCACCATCCACATCCACACTACAAGTCAGTACCTCATTTATATCTTATTCTCCATACATTTATATAATAAAGAATTGAAGGATATTTTTAGGATATTCTAGTCCATCATACTTTAAAAAATGTCTGCAGAAATAAAACACATTTTAGAATTCTCATAGAATTCGTAAGTATATATGTATTGAAAATATATTAATATCTTGTATTCGAGAAATTGATAAAAATTTCCAAGTCACAATGATAATATTTTACAACATGTATTTTAATAAAATTGTAGTGTAATTCGTATTTTATTTTATCTAATATATAAATGATATTGTTTTAGAACTGGGAGTGGTGGTGTTTTATCCCCTGGCGGTGGCGTATCTCCGGGATATCTGCCGCCGCCTCTTTACGTACCTACTTACCACTATCATACGTAAGTATAAATATATATACATATATACGTAGTCACATTATCATTGATAACTGACACTTTTACAAATTGTGAATATCTCTTAAGAATTCTCTATTTAAAATGGAATGGAATCTAGTTGACTTTTCATTCTATATAAAATGGAATCACTCGTTAAAGAACTTTTTATATCTTAAATTGTATTTTAATTTTTTTTATAAAAACATAATTGGTACATTAGTTTTCATTTTTTCTATAGAACTAACAGTAGCAAATACATTTTGAAATCAATTTCCAAGACTGAAAAGGTGTAGGTAGCAGGTGAAAAATAAGGGTCGATGACCGTGCCCAGTGTCGTGCCTCGTGAGAGGCCTATGTGGAGTAGTATACTTATGATATTGTCGTGTGGTGTAGCGGCGGAGTGGGCGGCGTGGGCGGCATGGGCGGCGTGGGCGGCGTGGGCGGGCCGCCCCCCGCGCACCACGCGAGCGGCGCGCGGCTGCCGCCCTACCTGCAGACGTACTCGCCCACCTACCTCGTGCCGCAGCACGCGCCGCACCCCCAGCACGCCCAGCACGCGCAGCACGCCCAGCACCCGCAGCACCACCTCTGGTGACGACGCTCTCTACTCTTTTATATCATTACGGTGACGCCTCACCGAATGCGGTACCGGTATCGGGTCATCGTCTGATGTCCCTCATACCGCTCATGCGTTGCCGTTCAAGAAGACTGAGATATCATGATTCTTATCCTGCAATTGTCCTGTATTTTTTTTATGGCTGGTGACGGAATAGTATGGACCTCAGTAGTAGGCACCAGTGGAGCATGATAATATGAGTATGAGGTTAGATCAGTTAGTTCATCGTGGCATATACACTCGGAATTTAAAGACCGACTTCGTGTTTCTAAGTATCGTTTAGAAAAAGTTATGGAAATGGGTACAAAAATTTACAATAAGATACCAACTATATACTGGAATTACCTTTAAATAAATTTAAAATGTCTGTTAAATCATATTTATTAAGCAAAGTGTATTACTTTTAATAGAAGTTAAAAAATAAATATTTAATTCGTACTATCATCTTTATGTATATATAATATTATATTATATAACATAATATATCTCTTTGAATCGTACGCTAACATATATTCTTATATCTCCGTAGGTACACCGATTGAACTCTCCCCTATATCTTCACGAGCGTTTACCTCGGGTGATTCTCCGCTCCGCCTGGACAGCTACGAGCCTGTCTTCGATCAGCCCCAGGTCTACTTCCACTACTTCAGCCCCCCGCTCATCAACGATAGCTACCGAAGCGACTACTACAGTCTAGAGGAGCACAGCACGGACTATGTTAGTTCTACAAATTTATGCGTGTCGACATCATTCGACGAGTGCTCTAAGGAAACGTCGCTTCCCTCCAATGATATTTGCCGAAGTGACGACACTAGTAATTACAAGAAATAGTAATCGTTTGTCTGTCAAAAGTGGAATAGCCCAGAAACTATAACTTGGAAATCTTTCAAGTACTCTATTCACAGAGAGACGATAAGGTAGTTCGATCTGTCATACATTGTGAGTTGGGATAAACAGATTTATTGTTTTAATAACGACAATCTTTTACGACATTAGGCCATACATTTATTTCTATAATCGAATTGGGAATAGATGTTGGTAAAAGCAGGTTAATTAAAAAATATATTAGCTTTTGATACATGACTCCCAATAATAATAAATAGGTAATCGTAATTAATAGTATTCGTTGTACACCAACTTCATATGTATGCTGATTTTTTTCTCTTTTTATCTCTTACTTGTGAATAGAGTATATGATGATTCTTTGTTTATATATCTCCGCACTCAGCGGCCCTTATCGACGAGCGAGACGCCTCTACTACGCGATCAGTTCGCCTATAAGGGAGCCCGAGTGCTCACCCGGGAACCGAACACGCTCGATCGATTTACCCACACTGCAATTTTTAATTAAATCTATGACTAGTGTGTGTTGCGCGTCGTGTGCCGCCATGTTCCTACAAACACCACCCATCGACGTGCAGTCGACGGGTTCTCTGTAAATTTGATTGGCTAGAACAGTTTTAGTTGTAATAACGATCTATGGAGTATAAATCGTATTAGATCTATAACGAGTATAGAATGTTTACGTTTATTTCGATATTTTGCGAGACTGACAGTCTCGCGCGTTGCCTTGTGTTAGCACTGCATACATTATTATTTGTTTGCGTACGCACGTAAGTACGCACTTTAGTGATATAAAGTTTTGTTCACGTGTATTATATGGATTGTAAATTTGGCGTTTCATTATCGTTATTTTGCTGCAGCATGTCTGCAAGTAGGATTGCATTTACTAATATTTTATCGTAGGCGTTAGTGTTTGTACCAAATCTTTTTATGGGGATGTAATATATAATATGGAGTGACGTCACAGCCGTCGCAGTACTGAAGCGTGGGCGTGGGCGCGGCCGTCTGCGTGTAGGGTTTTAGTTGTACGTGACCGGTGATTTTGTCAATTATAATTTTTCATTTTAATTTCTAATATAGTGTGTAATTAATGGATTGCTTTAGATATCTAGAATGGAGTTTTATGTTCCATATCAGGTAGCGTGGTAGCGGGAGTACATCCCATATGTTTAAAAAATTATGCTGTGTTTACTATATTCGCATTAACGACTTTGTATTATGTAGATTAATGTGTTTAGGGCGCGGTGATGGACTACTTGTATAGACGTAGATTGAAATATATAAAAAAAGATATAAAAAAGTCGTATAAGAGTTTTATAAACATTTATTACGCACTAATAAATAGTTAACAAGTGTACATGTATATTATTCTCATTAGATAGATGGAAATTATGGAAACATAACAAATTAATTTTTTTTTATTAATAATAAAGCGTTTATTTTGCGACTGCATATGTAGGATTTATTGTGTAGTGTTTAGTGACACGTTTCGCTGAATTTACACATCGGTCTACGGCTGGATGTTTCAGTTTGTTTACATTACGCTGTCTGGCAGGCCCCACTACGATATGCGTATCTTTTGAGCACCGATGTATTGAGTTCCAAGCGGTAACGACGGCACGCACGCGGCATTGCATATCTCTGTATATAAGTAATATATAAGTCGTATGCATCGGTATATAGACAAAGTGTCGATGTATTTTGGTATCGAGTATCAATTTTCGATAGTCGATACTTTATAGCAGGTATCCAATACCTCATATTTTTGTCTTATTTGGTTCGTAGAGTTTCTTTTTGGTCTGTAATGGTGAATAGGTGATTTTGCCAATAATTTTTAGGAACGTATCGTACCTATAAGTATCGGTACTTACTCTTTCGATACTTATAGACGATACGTACCTGCGTGTACAAGTTTCATATGTACAACCACGTGAAACCGGCTGCGTGCCTCGCTTGCCCTTCCTTTTTTTTTGTTCTTATTATTAATATGTTTTTGCTTACACCTAGCGTAGTCCAATATTTTTAAGTGTTTAATTTACATATAATCGAGTCTCTAACAGAGGACTCGAATACGTTCTTTTATAACGATATGTTGATATAATTTTAACGAATAAAAATTACTTTTATGACAAGACTATCTAACTATATTCATTTAATTGTATTTTTAGTGAATTGTTGCTGCGTGACAATAATATTTTATTTAAGTTTATGTAGTTTGGTTCTAGTTTTTTTTTTTGTAATGCATCAATATATTTAATTTGGTTGTATCAACTATGTGACTCGTCTGAACATTGCATTGAATACGCTATTATTATTCACATAAAGTTAATTTCTGTTGTTCTATTAATTTGAGATACTACCTTCTGTTATAAATAAATCTTATGATTATAAAATAATAAATGAAATATATAAGTTTTAATAGTAAAGATAATTATATTTAATAAAGCCTGCTCTCTGCAATGTTTACTTGCATACACCTAAACATTAGATGTTGCCAGTTAAACTATACATTTTTTTTTCGATAATGTTTAATTTGTCTTAGTAATGTATGTACATGTGGAAACATGTATTTCAATAATGCAAAACTTTCTCATTTTATATTATTTTAATTTTCTTTGTCTTTAAGTTTCTTTTCAACTATTATTTATTAATTACTGGCTTTGCTATTTGATTCTATTAATCAAAATGGAATAATTAATTGTTTTAAATATTTTCGAGTACTACATTTTAGTCACATCCAAGCTTCTTTTATTCTTTCATGTTTTTTGCACTTGTATAAATTTTGTCAGAAATCATTTCTGTAACTTTGCACTTTAATAATACGTCATATTTTTTTTTATGTAAATTGCACTAAAATTATGAGTGGAAAGTTGCAGTGTATGGTTTCGTGGCAAAGCTTATTGTAATGTAGCCTCTTACTTTAGGTGTATGTCAGCGTAGTAAGAGATTGTCTCTAGTTATGCGTAGTCAATGATCTCTGTACACTGCACCCTTGTAACCCCCCATTCGTATCTCTATACCGCCGTGTCACGGTAAGCGTAAACCGAACCGATTCAATGTCGAAACCTTCAAGAAATTAGCGCATTCCTTCTTAAAAGCCCGGCAACACACTTGCAATTCCCCTGGAGTTACACGTGCTCATGGCGGTAGTAATCACTTAGCATCAGGTTAGCCGCAAGCTCGTTTAACTATGCTTTAAAAAAAACAATGTAACAATGTAAGTCCACTAGCCCCTTTTCACTAATACCGATGGATTATGTATAGAAACAACGCTGTCTGTGGTCCAAAATATACTAAATATATTTGGTACATAATAAATTTTGCAATACACTTTTTAGTATAATTATATTTTTTGTTACCGTCAAATTTCTTCACACAAGAAGAAGTCTTGTTTAAAGAACACTTGTTTTGAAGAACTTGTTTTTTTTCTAAACAGTTTTATTTAGAAAAAGATCAATTGACTTCTAAATACGTTCTTAATTCTATATTGCAGAACTTGATTTTTTTTAACATAGATCTATGTTATTGATGGTTTTTAATTGCATTGTTTTTTCGTAAAAGAAAACGACATGTTTTCATATATTAGTTATACAGGTTCGGTTTGCGCTGACCGCGGGCGGCCAAATTATAAGTTTTTAGTGATGTATTGCATATTAGTAAGTCGGAGTTTTGGGGTTTATTCTTAAGCGTATTAACGATGGAATGTTAACATTTACTGTGTAATTATTTTCTTAGTTGGTAGAAACGTTTATTTGAGTATGGTATATATATAGTCGGAGCTGACGTTGCTTTAGTATTGTGCATATGGAGATTCTTCCCTAGCCTACTCGGTCGTACATACATGCACTGTAAATCTGAAATTCTGTGATCTATTTCAATGTAATTAATTATTAGTTGAGAACTGATTGTAAATTTTGGGCGGTTGCAATAAAATTTTACTTACTCATGTATAAAATTGCATTTTGCGAAGCACTGTTTCGAAGTTCTGTGTATATTTGTTTACAATATTTCGACGCCTCAAACGTGGGTGGGTTCGTATTGCCAAAATCGTATATATCGACCGATTGAATGTACAAATACTCCATATGGTATGTGAATTTTGCTATTGTGTTCTTTTTCATTTTATAAAGTTTTTAGTACTATGAGTTTCAGTCCCGGTGCGCGTCGGCGCTATATTCTATTCCACTGTGATTGTAATGCTATGTTTTATTCATTAATTATATTTGCGATGAGATGCAATTGCAATAGATCAACAATACCAACTAGATAACGTACCATGAATTAAAATGAACTCCGAATATCTAACCATGTTTACTATTAATAGAATTAGAAAATATCCCAAAATGATCTTAATACTTTATAATTTAACGTGTCACTCGAATATAAATGGAATTTATAAAGTGCTGTTATAGCATTAAATAAACTAAATTTAATAAATCACAATAAGAAATCTGCGTATGAGATCTTATTTGCTCTGTTATTAAATAACAAGTTGTTGGGTCATCTAGTTGGTATTAGTATATATAGTTGGTATAGTATAGTGTTATGATTTTAATGTTTTGCAACACTGAATTAGAAGTACCGGCCGGTACGTGTTGATGGCTAACTATATTAATGGTTATTGTTTTAATGTAGCATATAGTAGCTTGTGTTAACGCAAGTGGAAACGATTAACAATATAATATGTGGGTTTATAAGAATAGCACTGATATTTCGCTTAAGTTTTTCCTTTAATTATTATCAAATTATTAGACATGAAATTGTAAATAAACATCCAGATATCCTTTTTATTTTATTTTTATTTTGTTCCTCCGTACGTCCCTGTTATTTGTGGGCGGTGGGCCTGCCTGCGTGTGCTTATTGCAACTAGTGATACTCTATTTTACGTGGTGGTGGCGCGGACTGCTGTGGTCGCTACCACTATGGTGACTGCGGTAAACAAATGCCACGATGAAAGTTTTATCCGCACAACAATGCATATATTACAATTTAAATCTAGTTTTTTAGTTCCATATAAAGTTTAATTTATAAAAATCCAAGATTGCATGCACCTGTTTAGAAGTAATTCAAATATAAATAAGTTAATTTTTTTTATTTCACTTAATATATTTAAGATTATGTAAAATGTATATTTACAGTTCACAATACATGTAAGAACACCAACACAAGTAGATGCTTATTTAGTTTTACATTATATCTCTGTGCATCTTGGATTTTATTAATCAATAAATGTAATATTACTTTTGCTTTCTTAGGTAGTCGCTATATATATATTTAGAATTGTATATATATTATAAAGGCAGGAGTGTATTCGCCACAGTGGTCCGCGCCCCCGTTGATTATTTTATTACTATATATAGTCAATAGTGTGGCGCTTGCGCCGAGCTGCTGTCTTGACAATAACCCAGTGTCAGACAATAATCATTTTTATCATTTGCCCAATTAGATACATTTCAGTTCGCCCCTAATTAGTAACATAGGTTACGTACAGTATATATAGTGTTTTAGAGCGTTAGAGATAGACCTTACGGTTTAGAGATTTCGTTTCTTTTGTGCATACATTTTTGTATCTATAAATTATTTCTTTTTAAATTATAGGGCTGTATTACGTACAAAAATGAGACAATTAGAATATACAAAAGTAACCCCATTTGGCTGTTCAATTTTATTGAATGTTGGGTAGTGTTGCTAGTTTAGAGATCAAAATTGAAATTGACTTATAATGTATTTTGGAATAATAAAATTTAGTAGTTCAATGACGACAGCGTAGATTAGATTTGTAGAAAGTTAGACAGAATTAATAGCGATTTTCAAAAGGCCATTTTGTCATAATGAAAATGATATGCAGGTTAACAGTTTGCATCAGATAATATACATCCAAAAAATGGTTTGTTAAAAAATCTTCGAAATGCACGCAAGTCCTTTTTATGTCTCACGAGCTGCGGGACTCTGAATTATGGGTACAACAAGAAGTTGATGCAGTGTAAAAGAAAGTGATGATTTTTCATATATTTATGATTACAAAGTATATGTGAAATACAAACTAACGCCATCTTGTGGCGTGTAGGAAAACTAATAACCAGTAACATCACTGGTCGATATTATATATTTGTGCTTCTCCAATACGATTTAGGATATCTGGTGCAGATTAAATATCATTCTATATGAAACTGTCGCTGCAAAAAAGGGATAAAATGACTAATAGTCTCTTATTGATACGTATACACCAATTATTTCTGCAGAATATGAGTCATAAAACATTAGCAACCGAACACATATATTAATTAAATTATTTTATTGTCACTATTACACAAATATGGAAGGTATTTATTTTAAATGCAATCTGCATTTAAATATAATTATAATTAAAATTCTATAATACTTTACGAACCTGATTTTGAATATAAAATATTGTCGCTACCTCGTCAAAACTATCAGTTTTAGTGATGTTTTGAATATCTTCTGGACTTTAATATATTTTATAAGCATCATTATTGCATCTTCTTCAATCTACTAGGATACAAGCGTTTAAATTTCACTTCTATCATAGATGGTAGTAATATTATTAATATTTTATTCATCATTATTACTATAGTCTTATTATACTATTAATTGAGTGTTGCATTAATATAATTATATAGATGTCACTATTTTATAATTCATTCAGTCTTTTAATGTCATATTATAACAATTTTTAGCTCTATATAATAATTCTTCGATATATTGATATGAGATTTTTATCAGGCGTCGTTAGGACATGGCGTTAGATGTTAGATATATTATTAATTTACCTCTACTCGTACACTAAGTGTCTTAAAAATGGTATCAATGTGTAGATTGTTTATATGTAAACTTTGAATATTGACTGACTGTTAAAATTCGCTTGTCATTCGTTAGTGTAGGCGCTTTTTTAAGTGTCCAACTGGGCTGTAAATTCAGATATTTTAAATCTAAATTTAACTCCAGATTTGATTGAGTCGAATCCCAAAATATATAAATATGTCTATGTGGGATTTTTATTAAAACAGTTTTATAGATAATTATAAATAATATACACGACAGATCTATATGTTCATATGGATCGTTTATAGCCCGTTTAAATAGAATTTATAGGATATATTATGTAATTCTAAGAGACACGCCATTCATTTCTTTTTCGATATACGGGTAATATTTACAACATTAATATTTAAATATTGCACCTATTGTTTAGATGTAAAGTGACAGGAAACATTAAAACAATCACAAAGATTTGAATTTTTGCACATTTAGTGTTGCCATCGTTCTAATATAAAGTCCATACAAGTTAACGTAACGTAGTTTATATATATATATATAATGTTTACTACTTTTGATGTGGTTTGTCGATACGCTATATGTTGTGTAGAATTTGTTACGCGTTCGCACCGCGTGCATAGGGTGGTGTGGGAACAAGTCGCTAATACTGGAATATCTTAGGATGTAATGTAACCATTGTAACTATTACAAGTCTGATGTCACGTTTGTTATTAGTGTTAGTGTGCTGCTGAACTAGGCTCTATGTATAGTGTAACTTTTGTATAATCAACGTTCGATATATCTACCTGTTAGGTACCTAACTGTATGTGTGATAATAACAATAAGCTTTTCAACTAGATCAAGTACAATGAATTCTAACTTATAGGCCAATGTTTATATATATTATTTTTACACTGTCTAATATAATGAATGTGATTTTGTCTGTAGCATGTAACGTTTTAGATTATAGTGCGGTCCAGTGTCGATATTTTTGCTTTTAGCGTCGAGGGTGATCTGCTATCACAATTCTATATATCACATGTATGTTACCTGATTAGCCGTACGAAAATATGTATATCGCGACATGTCATATTGTGACTGGTGTCGCTGCGTCGACTGCAACAAATATTTATATCATGCTTTATTTGTTACTGTTATAATAGTCTCTCGACTAAACTCGATGTTCACCAAATGATTTGCCGTCCATACCGTACTGATGTACCTACGACAGCTGGACTGTTTTATATTCGATACTTGAAGTAATTCGTTCTATATGTAATCGCATACTACGACACCAAACCAACTTATTAAACTTTAAAATTATAGATGTCAAAATATTTTATATTTACATAGAGCTTATAGAGTGATTAGGGCTGTACTAGTGTTAAGACAGTGGTTTGGATGTTGTTTTAAAATAATGGAAATTGCGATAAGGGAACGCAGTTGATAATCAGAGTTTTTATGCCTATGT